ACTAGATGCGGCCAGTAGTAGTAGTAGTCGTAGTAGTAGTAGTAGTAGTAGTAGTAGTCGTAGTAGTACTAGTAGTAGTAGTAATAGTCATAGGCGTAACACGAATGACAGTGCGAGTAGTGATAGAAGTGGCAGTAACAATTCTACTGGTAGAAAAAGTAGTGGTAGTCGTACTGATAGATGGAGTCGTTGTCGTAGTAGCAGTAGTAGTGGCAGGACTAGAAATAGTCGTAGTAGTCGTAACAGTAATACGATTGGAACTAGTAAATGAAAAGAAGTCGCAGTAGTAGTCGAATAAATACTGCTAGTAATGGTAGTGATGGTAGTAGTAGTAGTAGTAGTAGTAGTAGTAGTAGTAGTAGTAGTCGTCAGACTGTTCGTGGTAGTCGTACTAGTACTCGGAGTAGAAATTAGAAACAATACCAACAAATGATAATGCCGACGACGGATGTTGCAGCAGACAAAAGGGAGGAGGCAAGGAGGCGGCCGGCGGGCGAAGGCATGAGAGGCTGAAGCGCGAGGCCCACCCACTCGAGGGAGGGGGAGCCCAGTCTCGGGGCGTTCCTCCGCTCACCAGAAGAAACTTCATCCTCCTCCTGTTGTTCCTCCTGCTCTTCCCTCCTCTTCTCCTCTCACTCCTCATCCCCCCTCCCCGAGAGGAGGCGCTGTGGGTCCACTTTGTGCTGCCTGGAGCGTCCGTCCGCGCAGCTGGTCAGGGGCAAACTCCCCACTTGCACACCGCAAGCCACACTGAATCCCACCGAGCCCGCTGCACCCTTACTGCGGCCTGTCAGCTTGCTGACAGTCCGCGGCGCCGTCTGTCAGCTCGAGGAGATGCATCAGACAATGCAGGAAAGCAGGAGACGCAGCGCCCAAAGGACTCCATGACCTTCGAAGCGACGCGCACCAAGGGTCGACCAGACTTCGCTGGGACCTGAAGCGATTCGTATTAGGCTAGCCCCGCGGCCGAGAAGATGGCCAACGTACGCCGCCGTGGCAGGGGGTAGCTTGGCATCAGGGGCGCGGACACGACTTGCAAGCACGAAGGGAAAAAGAAAGAAGTGGAACGCGAACCGACATCTCGAGCCCTCCGCCCCAAGATGACCCCGAGCCCGAGGCCGCCACCAGGCCTCCAAAAGAGGCCTCCCAGAAGCAACAGGAGGCCCCTAAGAGGCCCAAGCGAAGCCCCAAGAAGCCCAGGAGTGGCCCCAAAACAAGGCCCCAAAACAATCCAAAACCGCCTCCACGAGGACGCCATGAGCATGTATGTTTGTAAACATCCGCCTGCCCGGCCGAATTTTCGGGTCGTGAGCCGGCTCCCTCCCGCATCCTCTCCCCCAGGAACCCGCCCCGACCAAGTTGGTGCACAGGAGGCCCCAGCGACGTCCTCGACGGACTCATTTGACCCAGAGAGGCTCCACGAGGAAGACCTCGACAAGGACTCCAGACCATCGAAAACATGACCGTTGTCCTGATCGTCCTCCTCCTCCTCCTCCTCCTCCTCCTCCTCCTCCTCCTTCTCACTCTCACCGTCGTCGTCGTCGTCGTCGTCGTCGCCGCCGTCGTCGTCGTCGTCGTCGTCTTCGCCGTCGTCGGCGTCAGCGTCAGCCTCTTCCTCCTTCTCCATCATTATCAGAGGGTCGGCGGAATGGCGTATGCCTCCTGAATATACAATGTTCGCGTCCCCGAGGCCACACACTTTTTGTAAATCATGCAATTGTTGCGTCACCGAGGCAACACACCCTCGTAAATTACACAAAATTCGCGTCTCCGAAATCATAAACTATAGGAAATTGCACCATATTCGCATTACTGAGGCCGTCAGTGTTCCAAGGCGCCCGAAGATGTTTCCAAGACGGCCCAAGAGTGCCCAAAGAGGCCTCTAGCGTTCCAAAAGGCCTCCCGACAGAGTCCCAAGAGGCTAAGCTCGTGACGAAGATTTTTGAAGGATGTTGGCCTTCTGGCACGTTCTGCTTTCCGACGCTCCAAGATGGCTCAAGAAGTTCCCAAGACCAACCCAAGACGCCTCCAAGAGGGCCCCAAGACGGCCCAAGAGGGCTCCAAGAAGGCCCAAGAAGCGCTCAAGACGGCCCAAGAGGGCCCCAAGGCGGCCCCAAGAGGGGCCCAAGCATGGGACCACGAACCGAACATTCGATATGTTGTGCCCCGAGAAGCCCCCAGGAGGCCCTAAGAGGCCGTCAAGAGGCCCAGAGAGGCCCCAAGAGGCGCCTAAGACGCGCCCAAGAGGCCTCCAAGCGGCCCAACAAAAGATACCCCACGATGCCCAAAGAGGCTCCCAAGAGGCGTCCAAACCGACTTGAAGAGGCTCCCGAGAGGCTCCCGAAAGGCTCCCCACGACACCCCAACACATATACAAAAGGCGTCAGACCCACGACCCAGGCACGGTGGCGGGATGGGCCGAAGGCCACTCGGATCCGCCGCCCCTGTCGATTCATCGCAGGGGTGACTGGCGTGCTAGACCCTCTCGGTTTTGGTTTTGGTTTTTTTTCCAAAAGAACTCCCCCTGGGGCTCCAGCCCGTCCCGCCGGCCACGCGGAAACTGCACAAGTCAATGCCTGTTCCGCCCCAAGATGGCCCAATATGGTCCCAAGACGGCCAAGATGGCCCAGGATGGCCTCCAATATGCCTCCAAGACAGCCAAGATGGCCTCAAAGACGGCTAAGATGGCCCCAATCGAGCCCAAGAGTGCCTCAAGAGGCTCCGAAGAGACATCCTCCCCCTTCTCCCTTTTCCTCCTCCTCCTCTTCCTCTTCCTCCCCCACGTGTTCCCCGAAGGCTTTCCAAATCGGCTCGGGAAACACATGGTCCGATAGCTTGGGCGCTCCCACAAAGGCAGCCCAGCTGTCGGCTACATAGCTTGGGCGCTCCCAGCACAGCTGGGTCCAAGATCTAGCCCAACTGTCGGCTACATGGGCGCTCCCACAAAGGCAGGGGGCGGTGGTGATTCGCCGTAGGCGTCTTCGACCCGCCACCCCCTGTTGGCTTGCCACAGGGGCGCCCGGCGTGCAAGATCCTTTCGATTTTGGCTCTTTTGGTAAAACTCCCTGGGGCTTCGGCCCGTCCCGTCGGCCACCCGGAAGGCCGCGCAAGGCAGAATAAACCACCCCAACGTCCACAACAAATTCTCCAATACGGCTCAATATGGCCTTTAAGATGGTCACGTTGGCCCAAGGTGGCCTGCAAGATGGCCCAAGATGGCCTCCAAGACGCCAAAGATGGTCCAAGGTGGCTTCCAAGACGGCCCGAGAGAGTCTAAGATGTCTTCAAGTTCGTCCAAGAAGCCTCCAAGACGACCCAAGATGACTCCAAGATGGCCTTAGACTGGCCAAGAGGCCCCCAAGAGGCCTCCAAGACGTCCTCCAGGAAGGCCCGAAAGGGCAAAAATCATTGATGTCCCTTAGGTGTTTGAAGGATTTGGGCATGTTTTTCTTATCAGCTCTCCGACGGCCCCAGACGGCCCAAGAGGCCCGAAACATCGTCCCAAGAGCGCCCAAGAGGCCTCCAAGATGGCCACATGACAGCCCAAGAGGCCCCCAAGAGGGCCCCAAGAAGAGCCCAAGACGGCCCAAGATGGGCCCGAAGACGCCGAAGATGGGCTCCAAGACGGCCAAGATGGCCTCCAAGACGGCCAAGCAGGCCTCCAAGACAGCGGAGATGGCCCCAAGATGCACCCAAGATGGCCCCAGATGGCGTCAAGATGGCCATAGACTGCCCAAAAGGCCCGCAAGAGGCCTCCAAGACGGCCCAAGAACCCTTCAAGACGTCCTCCAGGAAAGCCCGAAAGCTCGGAAACCACCTGGTCCGATAGTTCGCCCGACTCCATGTTCCCCGAAGGCTTTCGAAACCCACTGGGGGAAGGCGTGGCCCGATAGCTTGGCCAAGCTCAAACCCAACTTTCGGAAACGAAGGCGCTTCCAAAACTTCAGGTGGCGGCGGTGATTCGCCGTAGGCGTCTTCGATAACACCAACGTTTCAATATGCGCTGATGATTCCTATCCGCCCCCGCATGATGTTCCCAGATGCGCCAAGGCAGCGCCGAGTCGCACCGACGCGACTCTGATATATACCATTATGATAGAGAGGGGGCCGGCGGCAGGGGGCGAAGCCCTTACGGACAGCTTATAATTATAAAAGCTGCCAGGGGTTCATCGTTGCGATTCTCTGTCTGATAGGCGCGCGTCCTCCGACCTCCTCCTTTTTATGCTCGTCGGGCTCTGGCAACGGAGACCTAGCTGTCAGTGAGCGCAGCAGGTGACATGCAGGCAACCATACACAGATGAAAATGATGGCAAGCCCGATGGAGCATGGAATACGCGCTCATTGTGCTGTAGATGGAGACCACAAGTCGACTCGAATGGAGCCGATGCGAATATGGGAACGAGCGTAACAGTCCGTCTCCTCCTCGCTCGCGTCCTGCCGCTGCCAAGGGGGGCCGCCAGCGCCGCCAGGGAGGGCAAATCCGCGACGCCTGCGCAGATGTTCGAACCTGCACGGTTTCTGTTTTGTGCTGCCCCTTGGATGTATCTCCAACCATCCACCCCTCGCACGCGTCGTGGCCCCAGGGGGAGCTCCACCGAGTGCCCCAGCGGCAGGGTCCGCCGGGCGGCCCCGCGCGCCGCGCGCACGGCCGCCCCGCCCTCAAAGGCGGCACGCGCCTCGCACGCGTCGTGGCCCTTCGGGGGAAGCTCCGCCGAAGGGCCCCGGCGGCAGGGTCCGCACGGCGGCCCCGCCCCCGATACGGCACACCCCATCACACGTTTCGTGGCCCCATCTGGAGCTCCACCAAACACTGCAGCCACCGCTGGGCCCTTCGCCATGATCATGCTTGTTTAATTGCACTGCGGATCACGGCGGCACGAGGTCTGGGCCTGGTGCTTCCCGAAAGAGCCAGATCTCAGACTCGGTGTGTTTTTCGATCTGGACGTTTTTCCTCCAGTTCGGCCCCTCAAGCCCTGGGACAATCAAAAACGGATCCCGAATAACAGAACTGCCTCTGGGGAAGAGGTTGGGAATTCTGACGCCGCGGATTTTTTTTTAAATTATTTTTATAATCGGGCACGTGTCTCTCGCAATGAACCGACCGGTAGGTCCTTTAGCCCAACGCGCTAAGCACGCAGTGCTTCTAGGAGGAGGCGGAGGAGACGGCCCGAGTCCCCAACTGCCAAAACTGCGATGTCGACCGCGTCCAGAGGACGAACACCAACACCCGCATTCAGCTGTCTTCGTCGCCGGCTGTGCTCCACACGAGACGGACAAGAACAACATCGGACCCACGTTCGGATGCCTCCGTGCATGGTGCGACCCATCGCAGCCAGGCAGGAGCAACATCAGCACTCGTACTCAACTGTCTCCGTCGCCCGCTGTATTAGGCATGCGCGTACGGACACCGTATTTGGAATTACTTCGAATTTAAACTAGATGCGATTGATTACCCGAGGCCTTCTGAGAAATGTTCTCAGCCTTCCCCGAGGACACGGACGCTTTCTTCTTCTCACTTCCCCCCTCGCTCGCAGTCGAAGGACGCTGCGTCCAGCCAGCCTCGCCACCCTCAGGAGAGGTGCATCCACTCGGGGGTGTGCAGGCCAGCCTGCAAGTAGCTGCGCCCGTCGCTCTCCATTGCGAGCTCGTACCTCTCCATCGGGAAGTCATTCACTCCGCCGTCGAACGGGTCTGCAAGTTCTGCGTTGATGAGAAGGAGCGAGTTGTAGAGGAAAGGGACAAAGAAAGCTATCACCGTGAGCTCTGGCCACTTGGAGGAATCCACTGCCAGTAGATACCCCGTGCACAGCGCCAGGCAGTAGTTGTGGAGCTTCACGAGAAGGCCAAGAAGGTGGACATACGGCAGTGGGATCGGAGTCGCCATCTGTGCTCCGATGAGCGCGGCACCGCCACGCCCCTTCGCCACCTTCTCCAGGACGAAGTTGAGCATGATGTCGCTCTTGATGTCACCCTTGCGGTGCAGGTTCCTCACGATGCGTGCCACCCACGTCCAGATACTCTCGGCGAGATTTTTCTCGTACTCGCGAAGCTTACTAACCTCCTCCTCGGTCAGCACGTTCAGATTGACAAGCAAGTAGAGGTGTTCGGCGAGCTTGCCTGGGAAACGGCGCTCCAAGAAGCGCATGATGAGCGATGCCCGCGCGTATCGTCGAATTGAAGTCAACACTTTCTCGTCGTCCGTTACGAACTCAGATATGAACAGGCACAATTCTGAGCATGATGCCCAGATGTTGCCGATGCCGTCTGTGCGGAGACGCCACCATCTGGCAACGGTCAGCGAGGTCTAGAAGCTTAGCAGAAATGCAGCCAAGTACGAGACGCTGCTTGACAGACGACGCACCTCAGCTTTAAAACTGTCACGCGACTCAGCAACATCTTCCTTGTAGAAGAACAGCTTGTGGATGCATGCGTAGACCAAGTAAAGTAGCATGCACAGCGCCTGCTCTGCCCACAGCACCCAGTTCGACACGATCGTGCCCTTCACGGCGAGAAACACCATGGACGAGGAGAACTTGTCAGCGTCGTAGCCTGTTACCACGATGTGTTGCTTATGTGCCCACCGGTCCCCAAGCCATTGCACCATCCCCCCCACGCCCGTAAAAGACTTCACCACCAAGTGCTCGTGCGACTGTCTCGACCCTACCCTGGTGGGCAGGAACGTCGACCCGTCGTCGGATATAGGCTCTGTGTCACTGCCACTGATATGGCGGCGCATGTCTACTTGCAAGCAACGCTGCCGCCACGCGGAGGCGCGGGCTCGGGCTTGGAACGGGCACTGCGCCCATATCGCTTGAGCCAAAATAGATACGGAGAATTCTGACGCCGCGGATTGAAAGAAATTGCTCCAGCAACGCACCCTAGCAGCGAGAAAGGTGAAGAGGCGGGCCGAGGAGTTGGAAGTCGATTAGTGAGCGCGTGCGTTCCAACATAGTCCTAGGGACTCCTACGACAGATGCAACCAAGACAAGGGTGAGAGCACGGCAATGTGCACCGTAATGATCTGTGACTACCAGAGATCTTGGCCGTCCAGACCACACATGTAGCCAGCATGGAGGCGAGAGCACGCTTCCATAATGAATTGTGCGGAAGTCTCACCGGAAACGGCTGAAGGGCCAAACGATCCAAGGCGGCGATCTTGGGCTCTCCGTCCGCCCCTGTGGGACTCCTCCGTGGTCCATTTTACACAACAAGAACCTCTAGCGAAACGCTACTAGGGAGTCACATCGTCGGGTGTCAGTCGTGGGGGCGTAAGACTCGGGTTCGGGGGACTCGAATCGGCCTGACGGGGCCATCAAGAAAATTACGAGACCCAATCTGAAATTTGACGCGAGCTCTCGCTGCAAACATCCCACGGACAAAAAAAATAACCGTCGGAATCCAAGACGGGCCCGTCAAAAAACGTCGGCACATCCGAGCTCTGGCAAACTCGAGTCTTACGTCTCGCCAAGCCACGTTTGGACGCCCGAAATGGGCACGAACAGCATGTGAGCAATGGCCCACAACACATGTTGTCCAAAACCGGCAGCAGCCACTGTTGGGCAACTGCCCGTCTGTCTCAAACGGAGAACATCCGCGGGGACACCGATCCTGAGTCCTGCTCAAAAGGAACCGGAACTGTTGTCGGCCTTCGTGCCCACTCTGTCCGTACGTACCAAAATTCGATCGTACCGATCAAAGGGAAGAAGTGGCATTGGGGAAACGGGTCCTGAAGGAGACAGGTCCTGGACCTTGGCGCCTTCCCCCAGGACGAGTTGTTTTTTGTCCTGAGTCGGGGATTCACTGACCCACTTCAGTGCAAACCCGGGTCAATCAGGCTCTGCATGATCCTGCAGGATCCTGCACCCAAGCCTGGGTCAGCACCCCTTGCTCTTTGCAAGATCCTGCAAGATCAGGCAGGCGCTCTGGCTGACCCCATTTGCATTCACCTCACCCCCGTCTCTTGAGCCCCGGCTGAGCCGTTTTCTCACAAGTCCCGGGGCACACTGAGGGTCCCGAGAGCCGTTTTCTGACAGCCCTGGGGCCCATGGAGGGTCCTGACAACCGTTTTCTGACAGTCCCGGGGCCCACGGAGGGTCCCGAGAGCCCGAACATGGCGAACAAAACTCGGGCGCCGTTGCCCTCAGGACACTTTCCCTCACGGCGCCCAGGCGCCCGCAGCCGCCGCCGCCGCCGCCGACGACGCCGACGCCGGCGACGGCGACGGCGACGGCGACGACGACGGCGACGACGACGACGACGACGGCGACGACGAGGGCAACGACGACGGCGGCGGCGGCGGCAACGAGGGCGTCGGCGACGAGGGCGGCGGCGAAGTCGACGCCGATGACAACGACAGCACGGCGAGGGCGGCAGCGGCGACGACAACGGCGAGGGCGGCGGCGACGACGACAGCGCTGGCGGCGGGGACGACGGCGGCGGCAACCGACGTCGGAGGTGGCGACCCAGTCTGCCGACGTCGTCTAATTTCTTCAACGCCGGCGGCCTCACTTCCAGGGGCCCGCCTACCGGGCTTCTGGGGGGCTATCGGTCACCAAAGCGGCCTCTAGAGCGAAAGACCGCCCCCCCCGGCAAAAAGGCCGGTCCCGCGCATGTAAAAAGACACGACGTCCCAACCATCCCACGATCCATTTTTATTTCCATCCGCGGCCGCAGAGCTCCCAACCGCTCCCCCCAGGGTAGACTTCCATCCCGCGATCCGCTGTGATGGCCCCGACCGCCGAGGGCCGGACACAAGAAGCCTCCAGATATCGAAATCAGTGTAAAAAAACGCCGTGCGTTTTGAAAATCAACCCTTCGATCTCCGGACCCAGGGGTCCGATGCTTTCACTCGTCCACTGCGGGGCCGCAAAGAGGCGGCAGTGGCGTCGGCTCAGCACGCCCGAAAGGGTGCTGTCCAACATCGATAGCGGCCGCTGTCGGGCCAGCGACTTTTTGTCTCAAATGGACCACGCTGGCGGCGGCGCCGACGACCCTGCGGTCCGACGCCGCGGAAAGAAGAGCACTATACATCACCAAAAATCGCGACTGGAGCCTCAAACCCCAGGCTCCCGCGATGTCGAGCCGGATCGATCCGCCAGGGCCCCAAGGCCCCAAACAGGGCGAAAGGGGCTCGCTGCGACAGAGCTGCAACGCCCGGGTCTCAGGGACCTGTTGCTGGTGTTCGACCCCGCCCTTTCCGAATGCATGGCCATCGTTCCGGGCGGCGTCGTTCCCAGAGAGATCCACTGTCTTGAATTTTGCACTGCGGGATCCCTAGAACTCCCGACCCGGTCCCCAGGGCCAATTTCGGGCGGATGGTAATGTCGGGTCGGGCGAACAGGGGGGGATAGCAAGGGGGGGTTTGAGAATCAGCTCGCGTAGCTGACTTTCCCGGCGCCTCCCGGCGCCGGAGGCGGCCATGCATCGAGGAATGGCCCCCTCGGTGAGGCCGAAACCAACTGCATGCAGCAGATTTCGTACCCCCCCCTTTCCCAATCCCCCCCTTTCGCCCGGCCCGATAATGATGGGGGATGGCACACACGGGGGATGCAGAACACGACCCGAAAGGGGCACCTTAGGGCCCCTCGAGGGCACCTGCTGGCTCCACAAGGGGCCCTAAAAGTGCTCCTTTAGGACCGTCTTCTCGTCCCCCTACAGGGCAGGTTTTAATACATAGGATTTTCTAAAATATGCGATTTTTGATACATGATTAATTTAAGAATAAATATATGCACGAACGCATCGTTGTTGCAAGTACTAAATCCATGCATTTTTAACACATGATCCGCACGCGGAGCATGCATTAAAAACGGCACTGTATTTGGGTCACCACCCATTACCACCCGCCCAACAGTTCTTGATACCGGGTAGTTTCTTGACTGTCCTGGGGCCCGGCGAGGGCCCGCGAAGCCGAAATGGGCGAACAAAAACCTCTTCGCGCTTTTGCTTCACTACGTTGGATGTCTAGGCATCGGCGGCGGCGGGCGGAACTTCTGGCCCGGAAGAACGGGCCTGGGCGGGGGCCTGTAGGCGTCCGCGCCCGGCATCCTGCGCAAGGCAAGCGCGGTGGGCCTCCGTGACCCTGGCGAGGCGCGCGCGCTGGCTAGGAAGGCAACGCACAGGGACGCTGCCCCCGAATTGCTCAGATCTCCGACTCTGGGCCCGAAGTTATTGTTTACACCTCTTCGTTTCTTGATAGAGGAAGCAAAAACAAATGCATACGTATAAACTTCCGAAGCTCCGCGCGGATTTCTTGGATATGCGCTCGGGGGCCCTGGCGGCGCCTCTGGCGCGCTCCGCGCGCCAGGGAGGGGGGTCCAGCGCAGAGATACAAGAAATCCGCGCGGACATCTAGCATTTATGTGTATGCAGCTTCTTCTTCTTCTTCGGCATTGCAGCGTGTCGGTGCAAGGGATCGGCACATAAGAACAAGCCAGGTATGTTTTGTTTCATAGTAGGCAACATATACACACATAAGTGTATCTAAATATGCACATATAGACTTATACACATATATGGATGTATATGTATACGAATACACATGTATGACTGTCTGAAGCATGTTGCCACGCGAGATGAGAGCCCGTGCCCCGAAAACAACAGCCCATCTTTGCTGAATCCCCCTTCCTGTACCCCAACGCGGCCCCCCAAATCGTGGCCCCCATCGTGGTCCCACATCGTGATCTGTGTAAAGCTGGTTAGGGTCTTCTGCCGCAAGGGTGTGCTGTTTCAATCCGGGTGTTTTTCCTTGATTTCGGCCTCGGGGGTCCGTTTTAGGGGCGACGGGACGGTCGAACATGCACCGAGGGCGAATCCCTACCCCTCAAGGGAAAGGTCGAGCAACATCGCGATGTGGGACGTCTGGATATCGGCGGTGCAAGCGTGACGCTGCTGGATTTCGTGGCCGCTGGCGCGAGATCTCGTGAGAGAGAGGGGGGGATCAGCCGAAAGCCTGGCCCCATCCATCCGATGGCCTGTGGGAAAAGAAGTGGGACACTGCCCAGCTATTCACAAGGCATGGTCTTGAACTGCCCGCTCAGACTGAACAAGGCATCGCTTGAGTCGTGTTTCGTTGTTCGGAGCTGGTGACATTCATGTCCGCTTCCGCTGAGTACAGCACAATACAGCCTGGCTCCATCCGAGAGCCCACCATGTACCCGCGCCAAACGCCCCTGAGCAGGGTGCCGCGGGAGGACAAAACATAGGAAAAGGGGGCACATGAGGACGAAGACAAGGACTCACCCAGGAGACTGGCTCAGGTCCGCAGTTGGGTTTAGGAGAGCGGGTCCCCCTTTGGTAGCCCCATTCGGCACTGCTGCGGGCGTGGGGAGGGACACAGGAGGCGGACGATGACGATGAGGAAAATACGACACAGCAGGATAAGGAGGGCATGCAAGGACGGCGAGGAGGACGGACACAACCTCCCATCATCGCCCCCGACGCCGTCGTCGTAAACGTCGCCACCGTCGTTGTCGTCACCGCCGCCGTCGTCATCGCTGCCGCAATCATCGTCGTCGCCGCCGTCGTCGACGGCGCGGCCGTCGCCGCCACCACCGTTCACCGCCGCCCTCGTCGTCGTCGTCGTCGTCGTCGCCGCCGCTGGCACTGTCGTCGCCAACGCCGGCACCGTCGTCGTCACCGCCGCCCTCGTCGTCGTCGTCGTCGTCACCGCCGCCGTCGTCATCATCGAGGTCAGCTTCGTCGCCGCCTTCGTCGTCAGCTCCGTCGTCGTTGTCGCCGCCGCCCCCCGACCACTATCGGCTCAAAGACGGTCCCAGGACACCTCCCAGGCCTGGCCCCTCCGGGCCAGTATCCTGGGCTGCGCCCTGCTAAGGAGAGCACCTCCCGAAACGCCGACCCAAAAAGCATCCGAAACAACGAGGACGGGGACGGCGACGAGGGCGGCGTTGACGAAGGCGACGACGACGAGGGCGGCGGTGACGACAACGACGACGATGACGGCGGTGACGACGACGACCAGCTCTACCAAGGTCCGTCCTGGCTACAGGGGACTCAGGGGGAAGCGTCAGGGGTGAACCCAGGCAGGGTGGAAAACATCGAGCTGGAATTGTCGATACATCGATGATGGATGGGCGATGGGGCCCGGATAGCAAATCCGAAAGTTCCTGGGCGGAGCGGGCTATCGGGCCCCTGCTGGAGATCAATCGGTGATCGGGGGCAGATGCTTCCCCACCTGCGCCGCTTCCCACGACAGTTGCCCCTGACATGTCTTCAGCAGGTGCCTGCGAACCTGCTCACAAATCTTCCGTAAGTGCCTCAGTCTCTGCTGACGGCACATGTAAAGATCACATCTCGCACTTTAAGTTCCGCGTTCAGAAAACAAATGGCGTCCGGGTATGTGTTTTGTGTTCAGAGGCTGTATGGCGTTCACGTAAAATCATACCTGATTAACGCAGGTCAGTGGTATCCCTGGGTGTTTCTCCTGCACTTCACGGCTGCTCTCTCCTTCTCTCTCTCTCTGACTCTCTGTTATGCTGCCTACTTCTCGTATAGCTTAGTCCCGGATATCTTGATATGCATCCACACCTCGTTTTGCACTCTATTGCATCATACCTGTTCTAAACTCTCTCTATATATACTTGTGTAAATAGAAAGTCTGTGTTAGTGTGCATGTTCCTTTCACCATTTCTCTCCATCTCTCTCCCTCCCTCTCTCTCTCTGCCCCGCTTCGCCACGTGGTCTCTGACACGCCTTTATTGTTTTGTTGTTTGTGTGTTTTGTTCGCCCCTCTCTCACCATATCTGAACTATATACCCTCGCACCCTGCCTCACCATACATCTTCAACTCTTAGCTAACAGTGGTCGCCAATACTCTATCTCTCTCTCTATATACTTCTGTCGCTCTCTACTCCATCTCTCCTCCCCTTCCTCTCTCAAGTGTTACTGCCTCTCTCCTTCCCTTCCTCTCTCAAGTGGTACTACCATGCGCACCCTGTAGACCCCCAATAATCAATATACCTCTCTTCTCTAACCTCTATTCTCTCACCTTTCTGCTTAATTGTCGCTTCACGTATCATACAAGATTTTGTTCCGCATTCTGCTATCGATGCTCTCATCCTGACCCTGGTCGCCAACGCTCTGACAAAACTCGAAAATTCGAAAACAAAGAACACCCCCACCGCACCATGAAACCCTGGGCCCGGAACCACGAACCTGGGAGACGGGTCGCCCATCGACCAGAACCCCAAAACCGCGAAAGCCGCGAACCTTGGAGCCCGGCCACCCAGCGAAATCGGCCCGCCACTTTCGCCTCCTCTTTCAGTCGCCCATAGGACCCCTTCAGTGCAGGCGCTGATGAGGGAACTACTCTCTGGTCTCACTGCCTACGTTCTACTTTCTCACTCTCTCTGTCTCTTTTCCTCTCCCCCTTTCCCTCTGTCCAGATGTGTAAATAAGTTTCCCTACGGGTTCTATCTCTCTCTCTCTCTCTGTCTTTTCCTCTCTCTCTCTCTCTTTCTCTCTCTTTCTCTCTCTCTTCTCGCTCTCTCTCACTCTCTCGTTTCATACAGTCGTACTACACTCGTGCCAACTCAACCATCAATTCGCGATGCTCTCTTCTCGACCATATACATGTATACCGGCTGGCTCAGTAAATTATTTGTGTATGTACACATATGTACATGCTAAATTGTTATATCTCTTTACCCTTCTCTATACAACATGTTGTACGCTCTTCAAATATCCACGATCTACTATACCATTCTGACCGTGGCCCCAAGGAACTCGGTATTTGGCCGCAACCAAGAAGTTGAGAACCCCGAAAACTTCCGACACTAAGACCTTCGGACCTGGAACAGAAAACCAAAGAACCTGGCCGCCCACCGAAATCGGCCCGGAACCGGGAACAAGGGAACCCTGGGTGCGGAACCATGGTACCTGGCCGCCTACCGACATCGGCGCCGTGCATTCGCCTAGTAGTCACAAGTCAGATGCACGTTCCGACTAACAACCGCACACTCTCGAGCACCCCAAGACACGCGCAAAAACTTTCACAACAACAACGGCGACGACGTGGTCGGCGTGCTATGACACCCGGCACTTTTCCAATGCCAAAAAAACATAACATCTCCACAACCACAGAGCTCCAGGTCTCAGAGATCCATTCTTGCTCGCGCCGGGGCCCGATACTGGGCACCAAACGCCGAAATTAAGAAAAACTGCCAGGATCGAGAAAGACCGTGTCGTCGGGAATCTCGGCAGCGAAAGCGCCCACTGTGAAAAAATCACAGCGCCGATCTTAGGAGATGTCGTCCAGCGGGCGACGGCCCCGCCCTCCAGCCCTCGGAGCTCTCGCGCAGCCCCGCCGCCGGCGTGGCCGTCGTCGCCAGTGGCGTCGTCGTCGTCGTCGTCGTTGTCGTCGTCTTCGTGTCGGCGTCGTCGTCGTCGTCGTCGTCTTGTCGTCGTCGTCGTCGTCGTTACGACGTCGTCGTCGTCGTCGTCGTCGTCGTCGTCGTCGTCGTCTCGTCGTCGTCGTCGTCGTCGTCGTCGTCGTCGTCGTCGTCGTCGTCGTCGTCGTCTTCTTGTCGTCGCCGTCGTCGTCGTCGTAGCTCGTCGAAGGCAGCGCGCGGGTGCCGCGGCGCCCGCCTCAGCGGACGCCGCCTGGCGCGGGCGAAGCGCGGGCGGCCGCCCGGCGCCGCTCCATGGGCGCGGCCCCGCAGGCGACAGGTGCCGCGAGCAGGCCGCTGCAGAGCCGGGGGGCGGCAGCCGGGGCGAGAAGCGACCCCAGACATGTTCGCGTCGTGATAAAAGTGAGGACGGGAAGTTTTTGGCCAATTTCGGCCTCGGGGGGCCCTCGCCGGGCCTCGGGACCGTCAACAAAACGACGCAGGATGAAAAAGCGGTCCCGGGGAAAGGGTCGGGACTGCCAGGGACCCCGTATTCCCAGAGATCCGATGTCGTGATGTTTTCGATACGGGGTCCCAGGAAGTCTCGACCCATTCCCCAAGGCCGGTTTTTCATCCTGAGCCGTTCTCTGACGGTCCCGAGGCCCGGTAAGGGCCCCTGGAAGCCGAAAACTCTGAAGAACCTCCGTCACGATTTTGTCAATGCGTTGGATCTCTGGGTTGAGCAGAGTCAGGACGCCGCACGTCCAGCCAGCCCCTCGGGGGCCGCCTGGAGCTGCGCGCGCCGCCCACGCCTCACAGGGCTGCGCACAGGGCAGCCCCCCCCCCCCCCCAGGCAGGCCCGGCGGGCTGCAGCGTGCCCCCCGAGCAGCCCCAGCTGGCCTCTGCAGGGCCCCCTGCGCACGGCAGGAGCTCGGCGGTGGGTGGACTGAGAGTGTCCACACGTGTCTCGCCAAGACCCTGAGTCATTCAAGTGCGTCGGACCAACATGTATACCCCCCTTCCCCAAAATTCAGAGTTGACGGGCTTAGGCGGTAGGCCAACGGCCAGGGGAAAGATGTGGACATTTCAACTCCGGGTTTTGGGGGGCGAGGGGGGTGCGAGGCAAGGGCATTTCGCACTTGTTGTTGTTATCATGTTGCATCACCTTCCCGCTATGGGTGTGGACGCTTTGTGTCGGGGCACCGGACCACAAGAAACCTCCCGCAAGAGACCCAACCCTGGGACCTCAGGGCGTCCATTGGTTTTTGGTGCAGGAAGTCAATCTGGCGGCTCTGGAGGACGTCCCGGGCGCCGCGGCCTTCTCAGAGCGCTCTGGAACACTCTGAGAGAGTTCCGAATCGCTCTGGAACGGATTCATCTCCAATCTAGGCCCGTCCGACTTAGTTCCTAAGGAGGCTCAAACTTCTGCCCCTCTGCTGGGTCGGGTGGGCCTGGCAGATGTCGCTGATGATCTCGAGCTGCCTGGCCGTTCCCTGCCCAGTCCGGCCAACAACCGCATCCCTCAAGGGGCGGGTCGTTTCGTATTCGTTCGCTGCAGAGCCCCTTGCCGGCTTTGCCCGCTTCATTGGGCAAAGACATCTGAGCTTCACAGGTTTGGACGTTGCCCACGCCTCCTCCTCCTCCTCCTCCTCCTCCTCCTCCTCATCCTCCTCCTCCTCCTCCCTTCTCCTCCTGTCGCTGTCGCTGCTGGCACGGGTGTCGAAGACGGCGCCACCATCCTCACCCCAAGGGGAGGTTGATCAAACTAGAGCTGGTAGCGAAGCGAAGCGAAGCTCGCGTACAAGAGTCCACGCGAGGGGACTAGGCGGGGTGGGAGCTGGAGCGCCCCAGGAAGCATTACAGATGCATTGTCGTGAAAAGCTGTAAAAAGTTCAGGGCCTGGCAAAAGACAGGAATCCAGCGATGAACGCGAGAGCGAAGGAAAGACCCCCCTGGGGGCGGGGGAACTATGTCCCCTGGCGGCCTCAGGAGGGCGGGACGACGAAACTGCGGGGACGTAGGGGTTCCAGGTCCGCTATGACACTCGCCAGCGCATAGATGAAACAAATCAGCAAGCGGGAGGGGATGGGTGGGATGGGTCGAATATCAGATATGGCGCGAGCGCACCTAGCTTGCTTCCTCCTGCTCCTCCTCCTACCTTTTCCTCCTCCTCCTCCTCCTCCTCCTCCTCCACTCCCTTGAGCCAGGTCTCGTCGGCCCGACGTGACACCCCTTCGCCTCGCTTCGCCTCGCAGTATCGTGTTGAGCCACGTCCTCCTCCTCCTCCTCCTCCTCCTCCTCCTCCTCCTCCTCCTCCTCCTCCTACTCTTCCACCACCTACCTCCTCCTCATCCGCCCTCCCTCCCTCCCTCCCTCCCTCCCTCCCTCCCTCCCTCCCTCCCTCCCCTTGACGCTGCCCTGACATCTCTGGGGGGCGAGAGGGCGGCGAGGCTTCCGCTCCACGCGCGGCTGCCGCCCGCACGCCCGAAACACGCCCGGAGATCCGCAGGCTGCGATGCTCACTCCGGGCGCTGTCGCTGCCGAGATCTCCGGCCCTCGGGCGGGGGGTAGCAGCGAAACAAACCATGACATAAACATACAATCTCGGAGGTCTGCGCGGATCTCTCGGACCGGCGCTGGAGCCCCCTCCCTGGCGCGCGGAGCGCGCCAGGGGCGGAGCCGGCGTCGCCGCCCAGGGGGCCCCAGCGCCGATCCGAGAACTCTCCGCGCGGACCTCCGAGTTCTTCTGCCCGTGTCACTGCTCGTACCCCCCAGGCAGGGGGGGCACCCAACCCTCCTCCTCCTCCTCCTCCTCCTCCTCCTCCTCCTCCTCCTCCTCCTCCTCCTCACTGCTCGTTTCCCCCAGGCAGGGGGGGGCACCCATCTGTTTTTCCTCCTCCGACGGGCCCCTGCCCGCCGCCCCACGCAGCCTCGGGAGCGGTCGGTCGGTGGCCGCCGCGCGTGGCCGCCGCGCGGCCGCTCCCCGGCGGGCGAAGAGAGCGCGCGCGCCGCGCGGGAGGCCGCCGCGCGCGCCGTGCCGTGCCGGGCCCTGGCGCCCCACAGGCCCAGGGCCTCCGGAGGGTTTCGTCTTCGTCTTCGTCTTCGTCTTCGTCTCCGTATTATTCTTCTTGTTCTTCTTATTCGACTTCCTCCTCCTCCTCCTCCTCCTCCTCCTCCTCCTCCTCTTCCTCCTCTCCCCTGCTCCTCCTCCTCCTCCTCCTACCCCTCCTCCTCCTCCTGCTTCCCCCCTCCTCCTCCTCCTCCTCCTCCTCCTCTCCTCCTCCTCCTCCTCCGCCTCCTCCTCCGCCTCCTACCCCTCCTCCTCCTCCTCCTCCTCCTCCTCCTCCTCCTCCTCCTCCTACCCCTCCTCGGCGCAACCTGGGGGCGGGCAGAGTCTGTCCACCTCCAGCAGTGAAAGCAGGGCCGAAGGCGCACCTTGCAACCGCCTTCGGCCCCACTGGCGGACACGGCTCCCTCGACCAGGCGAAGGCCCACGGGCGTAGAACACCTAGACACCCGCCGTGGCCGCCAGGACAGGGAGCCTGATCAAGGATTGAACTCGATAGACTTTGCCACTGAGTCTGAATTCGCCTTTCGCAAGCCTCTTCAACGTCTTGCGAGCGTGGTCAGTGACCTCGGGTGGGCACGGGCACGTTAAACCAGAAAGCCTCGTCACTGCAAAGCACGCGCAACGCGTGCAGCCGACCACAAGTGGTCCTCCTGAAAGCTGGAACTTAGCAAGGGCATGCACCTTACCCGAGCAGCTCGCCTGCGCGGCAAGAACACGACTGACCAGATCGGTGGCCACGGGATCCTTGACGAGAACCAAGCGGGGCACTGGGGGCAAACCACGAGCATGCTTCTTGGGGTGTCCGCAGTCCGCGAGCCCCTCGGAAAGAAGCGCAATCCAGGAGCCCCAGACATGCAAGACTTTGCATCTGGCCTGTAGCTGTGCGACGGCCGCCTCTGGGACCCTGGCAAAGGAAGCAGCGCTCTTGGCAGCCTCGTCTGCCTTGGCACTGCCGTATCGGTGACGCGCAGAGGTTCCACGCCCTGCCTGCACTTCAACCTGGGTCGCATGACCCTTTATTTTGCTGATCTCAATCCCCCCGCCCCAGTCATCCACCAGCCTCCAGAACTCCTTCCAGAGATGAGCGCGCGCAGAGACACAGGCACGGGTAGCCTCTGGGCCACGCACATGAAAACCGTCAGCCACAAAGGCAGAGTCCGTATAAACATGCACTGGCGGAGTCGCGAAGCGCAGAACATTGATGACAGCAACAAGCTCGGCGGCATTGATGCACTGCAGTGGGTCCAAGAGCGGTCCTGAACAAAACGAGACAATTTCTAGACGGTCCTGATGCAATGCAACGCACCCCCAGCCCGCACTGGCCAGACTGGGATACTGAGCCTCGAAAACAAAACCATCAGTGTAAATATCTCCCGTGAACTCCGAGGGCCCTCCAAGCCCCCAACAGATCGGAGACCCAGGAGGGCGGCGGTTCAGAGAAGGAAATGGAACAAGACAGCGCTCGGCGAAGAGCGACGCCAGCACTGAATTAGCGGCAGCAGCCTCTGCTGCAGCTAGAAAGCTGGGCTTGCCCTCGAGGCTGTCCAAGCGAGAGCAATAGCAATGCCTATGCAGCAGAGTCCCCTCCTGCGTGGGGCAGAGCAGACACGAGTGAGTCGTGCCGTAACCCGCGGCCCACTGCCTCTTCTGAGGCCACTGCCCTCCAATGATCGTGCTGCGGAGGTGGCCCTGCTGCTGGGCCGACAACTTACTCTTGCTGCCAAGGAGGGCCTTCAGGGGTCCCAAGATCAGCCCGTTGGCGAAGTCGTCAACCTCGAGATGTTCCGCGACCTTACAATACTGCCACGCCTCCACAGCACGAAACACGAGCTCCTGAACAGTGACGGGGCAGTAGCTCATCGGGTTGACGTCGGCCCCATCAGGCCAGATCCAGGACGTGGACGAAGTAGCAACGATGCCCACACGCCTGAGCGAGGCCCACAGGGCGCAAAAGGGGCCCCTAATGGAGGGCCACGGGTGCTCCAGCCTAGAAAGGTGCCTGTGGGCCTCACGAAGCCCGAAATCCAGAGCCTCGTGGGGCAGCCAACGATGCCAGAGCGCATGGAGGTAGAACTTGACGGGCAACCAAGTGGCTCTAAAGATGGGGTCCAATCGGGGAACAGGGGAGAGAAGAAGGCTCAAAGTCCGAGACTTGCCATCCTGACGGTGGTCCTGCAGCTTGCCAGCCGCACCTCGAAGAACCTCCAACTCCTGCCCATTGGTACCCATAACGGACGCTCCGAAAATGACCGAAGACTCAAGAGCGGCTCGAGCCATGCGCCCGAGCACGCGGCGACGAGGCTTGGTGCCCTTGAGGAAACCCATTCGGACCAACCTAGGCCTCATACAAGCGACACGCCCACGGACCGTGCCTCGACTAGCAACCTTGTCCGAGCCGTAGTCAACGCCGGGATTACGCTCAGACCTGACGGGCAGGGGTTGAAGGCTCTTCAACTTGGCTGCAATGGAAGCGCGAACCGTAGGGAAATTGCTCAAAACGCGAGACTTGTCGAGGGCGAACTTTAAGTCGACCTGGCGCAGCTGCTGCAGCAGGTGCTGGCCTGCGGCGGTGATGTCACCGACAACGCGGGACTCGGTGCCCCAGCGCATGAGGCCAAAATCGTCAACGTTGACGGGCAGCTGCACAGCGGGGCAGGCGGCCTGCACGGCGTCCAAAGGGTCTAAGAGAATCAACTGCAGCACACAAGTGGCAAAAGTACATCCAGGCACAATCGTTTGTTCAACACAAAGCAAGGACCCAACAGCACCCCCAACATCGAGAATGCGCGGGGCGCGGTAGATTTGGACCAAGAGATACAATTGCCACAATGGAAAGCTAGTGGCCGCCGCAGCGGCCAACAAATGATGATGCTGAACCAACTCAAACGCCTTTTTAAATCAAGCAAGAGGGTGGCACACGCACGGTCCTTGTAGGTGGAATGCTCCGACCGGGCCGCCTGGATCCAAACGCATTTTTTCAGAAGCCTTACCATGGGCACCCCAAAAGAAAGCTCTGAAGTTGGCGGCCTGCCACTTCCTGATGAGAGGACGTCTCAGGCGACACTGGGCCCTGGCCAACACGTGCAAGAGCCCCAACGGCCTGACACCACCAGTCCTCTTGATAATGAAAACGATGCGATTCCACGTGCTGGGCCACTCGCGCGCATGCTCAATGCGGTGCACAATATCACACAGAGCCTCGAGAACAACAGGCGGCAACAGCAGAAGAGAGCGCGGGGAGATCTGATCAAACCCCGTGCCCGTCGAGGGCTTGGAAGACTTGAGAGCTCGCACGAGCTCGGCCACGGTGGGCCGCGGAGGCGGGTCCCCGAGCTCAGGCCAATTGAGGGGCTGGTGCTCAACTCCGACTTGCCACCAACGCTTCCACTCTTCTTCGAGAGCTTCTATCGACTCGAGCGACGTGCAGGGCCGACGGGTGCCATGGCAGAGGGAGGCAGGCTGAAAAGGGGCGGGGAGGGCCGAAAACTTCTACAAAGCAGACATGCCCCCAGACGAGTGCTTGTCAACCCAATTCCCCCATTCACGTTCCTTGGCCTGAGCGCAGGCCTGCTGGAGCCTCGTCGCCTCGCAGCTCGCGAGGTCGGCGAGACACCGCGCCGACTCCATCGGGAGGAATAGCACCTGCCTCAGCATCGCCGTCCAGGCGGCGACCTCTGCCGTCTCAGGTAGACGGTGAAAGCGAGAAAGACGCCTAGCAGCTGCGACGAGCTGCAACCTTTGGGCGCCAGCAGGCGACCTACTGAGATCGGCCAGCACAGTCTGAACCTTACGCCACCAACAGGCGAGAGGGGGCAACTTAGGAAACCTGGGCGGGTTGGGGGACAGACGGAGTTTTCCACTTAACCTGGAGCGGCCTGTCCCTCCCAACCTACTCGTCGCACTGGTCTCCAGAAATCTGAAACAAATACAGCCACTGACCTTCGGCAGCCCTGAGAAACGCGTCCCACTTATCCTGGATCTGGAGCTCAGGATCCGAACAGAGCTCCCCGACGCGGTCCCAGGGGTCGACCTCAGGAGGGGGCCCAAGACACCCAATGGACAACTCGGTGGGGAACCTCTTAGGGACCTGCACGAAACGAACGTTGCACAGGGGCTCGACAGACGGGAAGACGAGCCTAACAGTGAGGTGGGGAGAGATGGGGACGTTCTGAACAACTTCAGGCCTGGCCTGACCTGCAATCTGGCGCGAGACCACGAAGTAGTCGATGCATCGCATGGCGGGCCTGCGCGTACCCTCAGCGGGCGCAACGATGACTGCGTCGAGAGCGTCCACCCAAGGCGTCCTGACCAAACCACTTTGAGTGCAATTCCAAACACCACCAACAACGAAGGGCATGCCCGCAGCCTTGAGCCGAGCTCCCACACGCGACAAAATCGCCCAGTTCTGCTCGTCAATGCCCACGGAGTGCACTAGGTACAAGTTAACAATGAAGAAGCCGCCACGCAACATACCACCCACATGCAAAGCCGCTGCACGAGCGGCCACAATCTGACTGTCGTAATTCTCGAGCGGCGCAATCCCCACACGAACAACTGAAGCCGTAACCAGCCCACCAGACGGATTGCCAGCTGTGGGAAGCGCAGCCGTAGCAGAAGCCGACCACCCCGCAGCACGCATCTTGGACTCAAGAGCCTGAGAGGCAGCGGGCAACATGCGGGACTCCTGCATCCAAAGAACACCACTGTAGATGGACTCCGACAGGTACGCGTCGAGGCCGACTTGCCCACCAACGTTGGCGGTGATGGCCGACCAAACCTTCTGCGCCTTCCTGCTAAACAGAAGGCCGATCTGCCGCAGCGGCAGGGGTACCGATCGGGTCGTCGAACGGAGTGCACTTAAACTTCTTCTGCGCAGCATCATTGAGCCCACCGACGATGTTGTCACACTGCTTGCGAGACAAGCCCTTGGACTGCAAGAACTTATCCCATCCTTCATCGGTGGTGAGACGCTGCAAAAAGGATGAGAAATGAGCTGAAGCATGCTGGCTGCCAACCGCTCCTTGTGCCGAGTCGCTTTTCCCAACACCCCCCGTCGCCGCCCCCCCTCCAGACGGCACAAGGGTGGCAGGCACAGCGCCTGGCGCGAAGGGCGACCCTGCTGCACCGAGCGCGTCTCCTCCAAAGACGGCTGTGGCGGCGGCAGCAGCGTCAAGGGACTGCGGCTCAGAAACAGGAGCGTCGCGCATGCCGTCGTCACTGTCACTGTCGGCCTCCTCACTGCCATCGCCCGCGGGGCGAAGCATGCCATCACGAGTGGCAAGAAGAGAACGAAGCGAGCACGCAAGACTCTTGTCCATGGCCTCGAGCTGCAGCAACAAAGCGACTGTAGGATCATCGGGCTGAACTTCTGCGCGATCGCCGCCAGGAGGCCGAGTCCGTACAGGACCGCTGCTGGCAGCAGCCCAGGCCGCAGTGGCCTTGGCCGCACATGCGAGCTCGTGCGCCTGGACCTGCTCGAGCTTGGCCTTGAGCGCCACGAGCTCCAAAAACTTTTCCTGCACGTGACCCTCGAGCTTGCCGACCTTCTGCTGCACTTGCAGTGCCTCCCGCTTAGCCTCATCGTAGGCCATCTGGGCATGCTTGGCGACCGCCTTGGGGTCCCCTGCCGCCAAGGCCCTCTGGGACAATACCCTGGCCCGCTGCGAAGGGCCCAGGAGCGACTTGGAAGTCTCGAAGTCCGCCTCGGACATCTTGACGAACACGGAAAGCTGAGAGGAATCGAGCAGCGGAATCTTGGGCTTGGCGTCCTTCTGCCGCGGTGGTCCGTGAGCCCAGTCCCCCTGCGGGGGCGGGGCTGGGCGAGTAGCAGGAACAGGAGGACGCTCAGCACCGCAAATGTAGCAATACTTCTTGAACGCAAAATTGTTCTTGAAACCGCACTTCTTCTTGGGACAACACCAGACATCGCCGCCGCCGCGACTGGTACCTCCCATGAAAGCTTGAACCAGCAAAGGTGCTCCAACAGGAGCTCACAAAAAGGGGGCTTGCACAGTGCAGTGCAAGTGGACGGTGGGGGCCGCAAATCCCCCTCGCCAGTGAGGTCAAGTCATGAGCCAGAGAAACGCTACGGACTTGAGCCAAAATGGCTACGGATTCCTCCTACCCCTCCTCCTCCTCCTCCTCCTCCTCCTCCTCCTCCTCCTCCTCCTCCGCCTCCTACCCCTCCTCCTCCTCCTCCTTCCCCTCTTTCCTCCTACCCCTCCTTTTCCTCCTCCTCCTCCTCCTCCTCCTCCTCCTCCCTCCTCCTCCTCCTACCCCTCCTCCTCCTCCTCCTCCTCCTCCTCCCTCCTCCTCCTCCTTCCTCTCCTCCTCCTCCTCCTCCTACCCCTCCGCCTCCTCCTCCTCCTCCTCTTCCTCCTCCTCCTCCTCGGGCACCCGGCGTACACATCGGTGGGAAGAAGTAGGTCGCCACATGAAGCAGGAAGGCGTTGGAGGTAGATGGGGTCTCCGCCCGCCTCCTGACCACTCGACTCTTGAAGTAGGAGGGCGGCTAAAGTAGATTGGGAGCTGGGAGTCCAAGAACACCTGCCTTCAACGACCGATGGGAATCTCATGGTTGTTCAATCCAAATCAGCCTGCGTGTCAGCTCCCGTGGGAGCGGTCCTCTGGAGGGCATGCAGTGCTCAGGGTGATAAGATGCGTGCGCTGCGCCGGCCGACACTGCGTGCGCAGTGGGGGATCCCCGCCGTCTCTGGCCTGTCGGGGGACCCCGCTGGGCCCAGGGAGAGGGTCGGGACTTCCGCGGGCGCCCAACCACTTCGGCACGCGGGGGGGCCGCCGCGTGCCGTGCCAGAGCCTGACCTCCCAGGATGCCTCTGGGGCCACGAAGAATGAAGGCTTGAGCGGCCCAGGATCGCTGGAGCCACGTCTCTCGACCTCGCGCAGGGCAGAGCGGGCAGCAACAACTGAAATGCCGCAGCTCCGTAGCCGCCGCAAGCGAGGGGGGGAATAATCCCGCTGGGCGCGAGTTGTTTGGCGGTTTTCGTCTTCCAGCCCCCTTCGTCCCCATCGGGGTGGGATTTGCCCCTCCCCCTGGATCTGGACGGGGGTTCTGCGACCGATTGGAGCGTCCAAGACGGCCTCGGAGAGAAGGCAACAATCATTGATGTTACTCACGTTTGGGACCCATTTTGGCTTCCTGGCGGGGGGCCTTATGTGGAACCCCCCTTCTTTGATCGAACTCCTCCTAGATGGCCCCAAGATGGCCCCAAACGCTCCCAAGAGTGCCCCCAGAGGGCCACAAGAGGCGCCCAGGAGGCCCCAGGATACACCCAAGAGGTGCTCAAGAGGCTCCCAAAAGACACCACAGAGGCCCCAAGAGGCTCCCCCGAGGCATCCAAGACGCTCCAAGTGGCCCCCGTGACAGTCACGAAGCCCCTAAGACGCCCCACGATTACACAAGAAAGCCCTCAAGAGACATCCGAAGAGACTCCGAGAGGCATCCAAGAGGCCTCTAGCCTTTCTGCTCGCCCTGCTGCTGCTCCTCCTCTTCCTCCTCCTCCTCCTCCTCCTCCTCCAACTCCTCCTCCATCTCCACCTCGTCCTCATCCGCATATTCCTCCCTCCCTCCTCCTTCCTCCCTCCTCCTCCTCCTCCTCCTCCTCATCCTCCTCGCCCTGCTCCTCTTTCTCTTCCTCCTCGGATTCCTCCTCCATCCTCCCCGCCTGGGGGTATGATTGCTTCCCCAGCCTTTTATTCCACTGCATGCTCCTCAACGTCCCTGATCAGGGCAACTCGCCTGGGCATCGTTTCTGCATGGGCTGGATGGGCTGCACCTCGGATTGTTACACCGTGGTCGATGTCCCAGAAATCCGACGTAACGGTTGACAACCAACATCAAAACGGAGATTATTCCTTTTGCCGTTTTCGGCAGCCCATGCTGGGCAAATCAGGACATCAGCCGTCTGAGCAGATCTGTACGGTCAGAAGCCCATTCACGGACAGCCGAGGCGGCGGCCCTGGCGACACGCCATGCCCTGCGAGCGGGTGGCGTGCCGCTCCGCCGCTCCGCTCCGCGCGCCGGGAGGCCCTGCAGAGCTCCGGCTGTCGACGCGCGGGGCGGCTGGGAAGCGGGATGTCGACACGCTGGGTGGCTGGGAAGTGGATACGTAGGCTGGGTGGCCGGGAAGTGGGAGGTCGACACGCTGGGTGGCTGGGAAGTGGGAGGTCGACACGCTGGGAGGTCGACACGCTGGGTGGCGCGGGGTGGCTGGGAAGTGGATAGCGCGTGTCGCCCCGCAGCGCAGGGGGGCCAGAACCGACGGAGCGGCGCCCTGGAGGAGGAGGAGGAGGAGGAGGAGGAGGAGGAGGAGGAGGAGGAGGAGGAGGAGGAGGAGGTGGGGAGGAGGAGGAGGAGGATGAGGTGGAGGAGGAGGAGGAGGAGGAGGAGGAGGGGAGGAGGAGGAGGAGGAGAGGAGGGGGGGAAGTGGACAGCGCGTGTCGCCCCGCAGCGCAGGGGGCCATAGACTCGGCGGAGCGGCGCCCCGAGCGCAGGGGGCCGGAGCCGACGCAGCGCCGCCGCCCCGCGCCGAAGCTAGGAGGAGGAGGGAGGAGGAGGAAGGGGAGGAGGAGGAGGAGGAGGAGGAGGGAGGAGGAGGAGGAGGGAGAGGAGGAGGAGGAGGAGGGAGGAGGAGGAGGAGGAGGAGGAGGAGGAGGAGGGCCACCCGCGGGCTCCCCTGGAGCGACGGGGGAGGAGAGGCGGGGGGGCCCTCAGGCGGCCTGCGCCCTCCGGGCCTCGCGCGCCCACTCCCGCAGGGCCAGGGCCGCCTGCGGGCCGGCCGGTGGGCGGGGGGGGGGCGGGGCGCCGAGGGCTCGGCCGTCGGTCCGGGGCGCGGGCGCGCGGGGGAGTGCTGACTGCCGCTCGACGCTTTTGGCTCCGGCGGGCTGCTCTCGCCCACGGCGGCGCCCGGGGGGAGCGAGAGAGAGAGAGAGAGAGTTGCCTTGCACCAGAAGGCGCGGTAGAGAGAGCGAGAGAGAGAGAGAGAGAACACAACAAAAACAAACAATGCCTTGCACCAAAAGGCGCGGCAGAGAGAGAGAGAGAGAGAGAAACAGAGAGAGAGAGAGAGAGAGAAAGCGGGAGAGAGAGTTGCCTTGCTCAATAATGCGCGGAACAAGCCTCCAAAATGAGGTTCGAGTAGACGGGGTTGGAGGATCGCGCCGCATCGCTGATGCATCGACGACGCATCGGCGATGCATCGGGGACGCGAGCGAAGCATCGGCGCCGATGGCGTCGAGAAAATCGAGCGCCACATCGAGCCGCATCGCCGATGCATCGGCGATGCGGTGCGCCCCTCCAACATCATCTACTCTGACCCCATCCGGGAGGCCTTGCACCAGAAGGCGCGTGATCAGGGAAAAGACTAATGCTGTTGCAGGATGCCTTCAGCGACCGCCCTAAGCTGCCAACGCCAGCTCCCCGTGAACGAAACACATGTCCGTGTCCGCGGTCTCGCTGGCCGGGCCCCTGGGCCAGGACCCCGCGGATACGGTGCGCTTTTTCGCGGATGCCCCGCGCGGAACGCACCCTTGCGACCGCGTATCTGCGGGACCGCCTTTTCTAAGACCCGACGTTGTCAAAAGCTGCAGGACCGCGAAAAAGCTCGACCGGAGCCCCGGTCCCCATCCTTCTGCGTCATCTTTCGAGCCGGCTGGATCTGTGCGGGTCCCAGGATCGAGACCGGGCGAGAACACCTGTTGTGCGCTGACCGCCAGAATCATCGGTTCTGAACCAAAGCCAGCCAGCCAGATTGCGGCCCAGTCGCAAGCAACGCGAATGCACGCCAATGGCAACACAACCAGAGGACAGTCGCTACGAACTAACTTCAAAACGCGCGCGCATAGGTCGATCAACGAGGCGTTATCGGACGTGCCATCCAGCCGACCTAATCGTGTCTTCGCAACCCCTGGGGCCCTCAGATTCCGAGCACTTCGCAGCCATGACGACGCGCGTTACCAGATACCTGCCGCCGGGTACCAACTGGACTCAACGGCCCAGGCACTCCCCGCCCCTCTTGCAAAGGCGCGCATGTAGATTTCCCTGGGCGCCCATACGGAGGGGTTCCCGCTTGACTCCCTCGCAGTTTAATCTCAGACGAGACCCCCGCTCGAGACATCCTCACGATCTGCAGGTCTGGACCCCTTCCCCTGGACACGGCTCCATCCTGAGCGGTTTTTTGACGGCCCCGGGGCCCTGCACCGCAAAGGCCCCTGGAGGCTAAAAATAACGGAACAAAAAAAAGCCGTCGAGATGTTGTTCACATCGCGACGGTTTCTGAAGAGATCCCATGCCTTTCAGGGGCGGCCAGGACGGGGGCGTTCAAGAGGGGGGGCGCAACTCATGGCCCGCGGCATGGGCGCGGCCCAAGAGGGGGCCAGGGTCGTAACGAAATAACAAGAGGCGCCATGAAATATGGGGAGACATCATGGCCCCCGCCATGATATCCCCCCTCGCCCTAACCATCACCCCCCTCTTGGCCGCCCC